AAACTGAGCTGTTAGTAATCCCCCCCTGCCCGTGCCCCCTCCCCTGACTTCTCCATCAAGATCAATAACACAATCATCAGTCTCTCCCTTCATGCCAGGGTACTAGGTGTAATCCTAGACTCCCATCTGTCCTTTCAGTCCCAAATCCAATCACTGTCCAAATCTTGTAGCCTTCACCTCTGCAACATTTCCAAGATATGGCCATTCCTAACCTCGGAAACCACTAAGCAATCTATTCACTCCATTGTTATATCTCGCCTTGACTATTGTAACTCCCTCCTCATCGGCCTACCTAATCGCAGGCTATCCCCTCTTCAGTCTATCATAAATGCTGCTGCCAGACTCATCCACCTTACTAACCGTTCCGTATCTGCCACCCCTCTCTGCCAACCCCTCCACTGGCTTCCCATTGCCCAACGGATAAAATTCAAAACATTAACAATAACATATAAAGCCATTTATAACTCTGCCCCAAATTACATCACCGATCCTGTCTCCAAATACCACCCAAACCATACTCTTGGCTCCTCACAAGACCTCCTACTCTCTAGCTCCCTTGTCTCCTCCCATGCTCATCTCCAGGACTTCTCCGGAGCTACCCCAATTTATCAGACTATCGCCTACTCTGCTCACTTTTAGGCGATCTCTGAAAACCTATCTCTTCAGGGAAGCCTATCCTGACCTCAGCTAATAATGGAATCTTCTATTTTTCCAACCAGTCCATCCCCCACAGTTACAACCTTTTGTACCACTAGCCCCTCCCTCCTAGATTGTAAGGTCCAAGGAGCAGGGCCCTCCTATCCCTCTTGTATTGAACTGTATTGTTGCTGTATTGTCTCCCGTTATATTGTAAAGCGCTGAGCAAACTGTTGGCGCTATATAAATCCTGTATAATAATAATAAAGATACGTGCAAGGAAGGGATTGGGGGGGACATGTGCAAGGAGGAAGGATTGGGGGGAATATGTGCAAGGAAGAGGAATTAGGGGGGATATGTGCAAGGAGGGGGGATATGGGCAAGAAGGAGGGATTAGGGGGCAAATGTGCAAGGAGGGGGGTTGAGGGGGGATTTGTGCAAGGAGGAGTGATTAGGGGAGATATGTGCAAGGAGGAAGGATTCGGGAAGATATGTGCAAGGAGGAGGGATTAGGGGGGATATGTGCAAGGCCAGCTACATACTGTGCAGATGGACGCTGTGTCTGCAAGAGAATCTGATCTCGGCTATGTGCTGTGTGGGGTGGAGGAGATCTTAGTACCCAGGCTGTGTGTAGTATGGTGAAGGGAGCAGGAGTCCTGCTGAGTGCTCTGCCAGCAGTGAGCCTGTCCTCTTCTCTGCCGACCAATGTCTTATGCCCTACTGACTCCTGTTCTCTGCACTGCTGACCTGACAACCCATTTTCTCCACCTTGCTGACCCTTGTCCTCTGTTCTGCTGACCCGCTGCACACTGTTCTCTGCTCTGATAACCCACTGTACACTCTCCTACAAACTAATGACCGTAGACTGCCCTATAAACTGCTGACCCTATCCTCTGCCCTGCTGGTCCCCTGTACACTGCCCTACTGAACTCACATCCTCTGCCCCCCAGAGATTTTTTACTGCACCCCTACATCAGACAGTCTGGATCCGGCCATGATTTTAAGGCTACGTTCACACTAGCCTTGTGTGCAGGCGGCAGAGAGGCGTTTGAGAAGCGTTTTTACCGCTTCCCAAACGCCTCTGCCAATTCTGCACATTACAGCACATGGTGCTGTTCTAACGGGAGCGTTTGCGTCGCGTCGCGTTGCGTCGCGGCAAAACGGATGCCTCTGGACGAGTCAGGAGGCGTTGAAGCCTCCTATTCTCGTCTATGGTGCGGCTCCGCAAACGCCCGGCCGGCGTTTGCGGTGCGGTTGCGACGCGGTTGCGGGGCGTTTGCGGAGCGGTAACACCACTCAAATGCATTATAGGCGTTTGTGGGGCATTATTAACGCTCGGCAAACGCCTAGCAACCGCCGCTAAACCGCGCATGCGGCGTTTGCGGAGCGTTTGCCGAGCGGTAACACCACTCAAATGCATTATAGGCGTTTGTGGGGCATTATTAATGCTCGGCAAACGCCTAGCAACCGCCGCTAAAACGCGCATGCGGCGTTTGCGGAGCGTTTGCAAGGCGTTAAAAACGCTCCGCAAACGCCGGACCAACGCTTGCCAAACGCTATAGGGGCGTTTGGCAAGCGTTGGCAAAACAGCCAAGTGTGAACGAGCCCTTAGTGTGCTTCACTTTGTCAGACAGCTTCTATTTTAACTGATTTCTTAATTTAACAGGTCTGGCAGTAATCAGGCATGGGTGTGGCAAGTAAAATTTAACTCCGCTTTCCAAAAAATGTGGTTCATGTGGCTAAATTCATGATTCAGCAAGGAGGGGGGATTAGGACCAGGCATTATTGGACAGCTTTTTTTCCTTAATAAATGAAATTATTTGTATTTACTTGGGTTATATTTGTGTAATATTAAAATTTGTTTGATGATCTGAATAATTTAAGTGTGACAAATATGCAAAAAAAAATCACAGCATTGTAGTTACATAGTTAATCTGGTTGAAAAAAGACACTAGTCAATCCAGTTGAACTAATATAAAAAAAACAACCACTAACACACACACAAATAGAAAACCTTCATATACACTATCCTATTCCCTCATCCAGAATACAATAAAGCATGATCCAGTTTGCTCCAGCAGGGGAAAAATTTCCTTCCTGATCCCCAAGAGGGCATTGGATATTCACTGGATCAACTTTATAAATATTAGTATCCAGACCTTTTTTAAAGCAATCTACTGAGCTGGCCAGAACCAACTCTTGAGGGAGTCTATTCCACATTTTCACAGACCTTACTGTGAAGAAGAGAGATTAAATCTCTTTACTTCAGACCTAAAGCGTGCCCCTTTGTCTTCTGTGTTGACCTCAGGGTGAATAACTCTACACCGAGTTCACTATATGAATCACTGATGTATTTATACATGTTGATCATATCCCCAGATCATAGCTGAGCTCTCCATGCCTCTTATCAGTTTAGTTGCCCTTTTCTACACTTACTTCAGTTCCCTGATATCCTTTTTGTGAATTGGTGTCCAGAAGTGAGCTGCATATTCCAGATGAGGTCTTACTAATGATTTGTACCGGGGTAATATGATATCTCTCTCTCTTCAGTCCATACCTCTTTTAATACAAGAAATGATATTGCTGGATTTGGAAACCACAGCTTGACACTGAATGCCATTATTAAGCTTATGATCTACCTAGGGCCATCTTTAATATTGATTGGACCCTGGGCAAACATTTTCTTGGGCCTCTCCCCCCTTGCAATTTCGTTCTCCACCTGGTCTGAGACTTACAATAAATAGCAACTAGACTTAATATTAGTTTACTTCAGCAGATCTGGTAGTGATTGCACCTGGTTACCAGAGGTTACAGCATATCATTGCCTCTCACTGACTGGTTGCTAGAGGTTACTGCACAAATTTTCCGCTCAATGATTAGTTGCTAGAGATTACTGCACAACCTTTCCACTTACTGATTGGTTGCTAGAGAGTACTGCACATCATTATTGCTCACTGATTGGTTGCTAGAGGTTATTGCACACCCTTACCACTCACTGATTGGTTCCTAAATGTTACAGCACATAATTACTGCTAACTGGTTGCAAGAGGTAACAGCAGATTACTACTGTTCACTGATTGGTTGCTAGAGGTTACTGCACATAATTACTACTCGCTGATTGGTTGCTAGTGGTTAACATGGCAATCTGTTTATGAAGGGGCCCCTAAACTGATCGTGGCAATGTCCCTATGGAGGGGCCCCTGGACTGGAGGTGGCAATCTCTTAAAGAAGGTGCCCCTAGACTGGAGGTGTCAATCTCTTCATGAAGGGGCCCCTGGACTGGATGTAGCAGTCTCTCTATGGAGAACCTACATAGAGAGACTGCTACCTCCAATCCAGGGGTCCCTCCATAGGGAGACTGCCACCTCCAGGGGCCTCTCCATGGAGAAACTACTGTCTCCAGTACAGGGGACCCTCCATAGAAAGACAGCTACCTCCAGTCCAGAGGCCCCTCCTTTTGAAGGGTGACATAAGAATGGAAAGCCCCTGGGATAGTAAATCAGTGCAGTAACAGTAGTGCAGGAACACTGTGATCCTCCTGCCAATGTAGAGGTTAAGGTGCCTGACCAGTGAGTACCCTGTATGTGGTCTCTCCTGAGTTGACCCTGGTCCAGCTCTTCCCTTCTCCTCTTCTTCCACAGTGGTGCCAGTCAGTCTTTCTGTCATTGTGGGCACAGGGTGGCATGGGGTACTTGCTGTATGGTGATGGGATCGGTTGGACACTGTCAAAGTATGGCCTCGGGGGGGGGGGGGGGGGAGCTGGCGATAAGGCAGATGGCCCAAGACTCCCTACACACGCCGGCACAGCAGCTCCCCCAGTGGAATTGAAGCCATGTTGGGAGGGGAAGAGGACAGAGCATCCTAACAAGACTGCAACCAGAACTAGAAGAGGTAAATGTGCTGACTGCTCCATCCGTGGCCGGTGCCAGCAACCCAGGTGCCCCTTTTGCCCTGCATTAAAGACATCCCTGGATCTACTATAACACACAGCTCCTTCTCCACCATTGATTCCCCCAATTGTACTCCCCTAGTATGTATGATGCAGTCTACGTTTTGGAAAGCAGCCCTCAGCATTGGAAAATTTTTTATCTTAAAGTTAAGTGTTTTTATCTTTCCAGTATTTGTTCCCTGTGTTTTTGCGAGGCACTTTCAAATAAATAGGCTGCTGTGCCACCGTCCACAAAACTGCACTAGTGTGAACCAAGGGTAACTTTCTACAGTGCCATTAATCCAGTCAATTTCTGGGTAGTTAAAACCCCCCAATATTATCACTGTGCCAGCTCTTGCAGCCGTTTCTATCTCTGCAAGGAGCTAAGTCTCCACCTCCTCATTAACACATGGTGACTTATAACAAACTTGTGCTTCCTTAACCACTTCCCGTCCGGCCCTTGTATATAAACGGCCGGATGGGGGAAGTGCAGGAGCAGGTTGCCGTTCATAAATGGCGCCCGCTGTTTTTTATCATGTGCGCGCTCCATGGGAGCGTGCTGCACCGATCGCTGTATGGGACCTCTGTGTGAGGTCCCAATCATGTGATCACTGATTGGCCAATCAGTGATCACATGAATAGTAGTAAGCAAGATGTCAATTCTGACATCATTGCTTACTACTAGTGAAATGTGTGAATGATCACAGAGGTCACATGGTACAAGGCTATTCACAACAGCCTTGTACCATGTGACAAGCTGTGACCATTCAGAGCTCTCACAGTATTTCTCAATGGCTGCAAAAATGCAGTCAGAGGGAAGGAGAAATGATTGCTTTTACAGCCTTTATGGGTGTAAAAGCAAATAGTGTAAAAAGAAAAAAAATCTTCATCACACCCTACAAGTCACTATGGTGACACTGTACTGCTAGGGTGACAGTATGTTAAAAAATAAAAAAAAACATATAATAATAAAAAAAAAATAAAAATGTAAAAAAATTTTTGAAAAATTATAATTTTTGGTTATAAACTAATTTAGGTTATTTTTTTTAATAAAAAGATAGCTGAATACATTTTGGCCAAGATTTATGAAGAAAGATTATTTATTTGCAAAAAACACTTTTTTTCAAAATGTTTGGACTTTTTCATTTATATAGAAAAAAAAAAATCCCAGTGGTGAATAAATACCACCAAAAAAAGTTTTATTTGCTTCAAAAAAATGCTAAAAAATTCATATGGGTACAGTGTTGCATGACCGCACAATTGTCATTCAAAGTGTGACAACGCTGAAAGCTGAAAATTGGCCTGGACAGGAAGGGGATAAAAGTGTCCAGGCTTGAAGTGGTTAATGCTTCAGTCTTATGACACTCTCCATCAACTAGGTCCTCTTTCACACTCGCTTTGAGATCACTTCTCACCTTTCCTGTAGACACCACCACCTTTCAGTTTTACCCCGTCTCTCTGAAAGAGAACATAGTCAGGAATATTAATGGCCCAGTCATGTGAAGAATGAAGCCAAGATTCAGCAATACCAATTAAATCATAGTTCTATTTATGCAGCAAAGCTTCCAACTCACCTATTTTGCTGGAGGAGATTCCTTTAAATTTCATGCCTGGGGGGAGGTCCCCTTAAACTACCTGCACATCTCTACAATGTATAGGACCTGCTACATGGCATTTTCATTAAAAAAAAAAAACCCACAGTAAATTTTTTTTTTTACTAAGCGCGTGGGGTTCTCCCTAAAAAGCCCTACCAGGCCCTTTAGGCCTGATAGGGCTTTTACAAAGAACCCCACTTCCCAAAATGGTGGAGAAAAGTGTGTGGGGTTCCCCCTAAAAAGCCAATCATGGCTGTCACAATGCACTGTAACAGCTCAGTGCATTGTGGGGCGTGTCGGGCGAACATCGCCAAACACACGAATGGTCGATGTTCAAGTCGAACTTATGTTCAACTCGAACATCAAGCTCATCCCTGCTATTGGTGTATATTTTTTGTTAAGGTACACTTTTTAGCTGCTTTCATTGTTTTAGAGGAGGCCATGTCAAACATTGGGTCCAAAGCTAAGTCAGTAAGGGTCAACAATAGCTTGAGCTTTTGACATATTTGAGCTATGGCATGTATGATATAGCACTATCATCTAAAGTTTGAGTTAGGAAATGTTTTTCTCACTGAAAACAAATGCAGAAAATTATACACCCATGTGGGAATGGCTATCAAAACTTTCAAAATAAAAGGCCAGCAGCATAAGCTGAAAGGAAGGCTCCAAAACAACAAGGAAGGTATGTACCCAAGGGAAGAGGGACTCCATAACCACAAGACAACCAAAGAAGGAACTACACCTGGGGATGACGCTAAAGCTACACAGCGAGAACAGGCCCGATTTCTGCAATCCCTCAAATAGCTGGGAGCCCTGGTTGCCTACAGAGATTGTGAAGCAGTCATAAACCAAGCTAAGTAACTTTTAGCATATTCTTGTACATAGACCATTGTTCATGTTCATTTGCTATTAAGGTTAGGTAGCCTGTGCATGTATTGTAGGTACTGTATGTCTAGAATACTATGTATGTCTTGTTTTGTTTCCCTACAATTGTAATTAGTTTGCATCTACAGAATTATTGTTTAGTAAAGCACATTAACCACTTCCAGTCCAGACACTTTTACCCCCTTCCTGTCCAGGGCGGGCAATTTTCAATTTTCAGTGCTATCAAACTTTGAATGACAATTGCGCGGTCATGCAACACTGTACCCATATGAATTTTTTTACCATTTTTTTGAGACAGATAAAGCTTTATTTTGGTGGTATTTATTCACTGCTGGGATTTTTATTTTTTTTTTGCTATGTAAATGAAAAAGTCCCAAAATTTTGAAAAAAAGTGTTTTTCTTATAAAATTTTGCAAATAAATAATATTTCATCATAAATCTTGGCCAAAATGTATTCCATTATCTTTTTAGTAAAAAAAAAATAAGCCAAATTAGTTTATAAACCAAAAATTATAATTTTTAAACTTTTTTTTACATTTTAATTTGATTTTTTTTTATATTATTATTTATGTTTTTGTTTTTTGTTTTTTTACATACTGTCACCCTACCAGTACAGTGTCACCATGGTGACACTGTACTACTTGTAGGGGGTGATGAAGATTTTTTTTCTTTTTTACACTATTTGCTTTTACACCCATAAAGGATGTTAAAGCAATCATTTCTCTTTCTCTGTCTGCATTCTTGCAACCATTGAGAACTACTGTGTGAGCTCTGAATGGTCACAGCTTGTCACATGGTACAAGGCTGTTGTGAATAGCCTTGTACCATGTGACCTCTGTGATCAGTCACAGATTTCACACATAGTAAGCAATGATGTCAGAAGTGACATCTTGCTTACTACTTTGGCCAATCAGTGATCACATGATCGGGACCTCATACAGAGGTCCCATCCGACGATCGGTGTTTCACTGTGTCTGGAGAACACAGCGGGCACCGGATCGCGGTGCTGTGCGCTCCCAGGGAGCGCGCACAGCTAGAAATGGCGGGTGCCGTTTATGAACGGCAACCCGCCCCTGGAGTGCCACCGTCCTGCCGTTTATAAATAGCAGGCGGACGGCAAGTGGTTAATATACTACAGAGCTTTCCTTGCTTTACTGCAAAGTGACCTAAAAGGTACAAAAGAAAAACACCTAGACCAGAAACCCAGAAGCAACTGAAAAAGTGCAAAAAAAAGTTTAAAACAAAGTTTAGTCCTGCTTATAGATGTGATATTTTCAGAAATGGTTTTTCCCCTGTTTTATTCCAGAAAAAATGGACATTTTGGAAAAATAAAAAAAAAAAAAATGAGTGTGGAGTAGTTTTACAAATTCAAAGTTGTTTTGTTACACTGGGAAGGTGAAATGCAGTGTACAGTATATAAAAGTATTATGCTTGAAATAAAATTACAGCGTATTCGGTAAATAAACTAAAGTTCCTTTTTAAAACTGTATTTTAGATTACAATTGGGTTAACAAGAACTGTATATGTTAAGAACATTTCAACTACACATGAGAACAGGTAATACCTTCCCCCTTCCCCTCATAATATTTTAAAAGGTTCCAGCCTATATGCATTCTCAATTATTGACAATGGTGATCCAGAAGCATATATTGCTCTATGAAGAGCTTGGTCAATGTTCTCCTGATTTTCAGGTGTCATTTTATCTATAAATGAAGGTATTGTGTATTTTGGGAGGCCGTGGTTTGTAACACTTCCTTCCTTGGAGATGCTGCTGGTGAAGAAACATGTTTTGATGATCTAGAAGTAGCAGAAAGAGTGTTTCTGGAACGAGAACTCTGGAGGGAAAAGAAAATTGCACTGTGGAAATGTTTCCACTTGTTGGTCTCACTATTTTATTGAGAGGAGGAAAAGAATAAACACAATTTACTGACTATAAAATAGGTAAACATTATGCTGTGATGGTGGAGAGCAAAAAAAGGAATCATTTAAAGGTTATAAAGATAATCTAATTTGTCAGACAAATTTTCCCTCTTGTCTGTCAATGAAGGTTTGAGAGGACAGAAACTATCATCTCTATATATCCCTCCTCCTGTCTGAGTTCTGCTATATAGTAAATTGCAAGAGACTGATGCTAAGTCAAGGTCAGGAACTTACACTGCTTCCCTTTTAAAAATGCATTTAATATTGTATAAATTAATCCAGAACTGCATTTTTGTGTTTTTCTCATGTGCCTGGAATGCAACTTTAGGTAGAATTAAATGGTCAGTAGTTGTGAGGGGATCACCCAACTATATAGCCAATTCCAGCTGAACCATGAAACAGCTTAATGTCTGTGGGTATCTGCTGACACTGCCATGTGAGAGATTAGGGGAAAATTGCATAGGCTGGGAAATCCTGTTTTATCATCATTGAATGTATGATGTCTTGATTATAAAATAGCAGTTTTTCTGTATTAGAAATACTCATTAGGGTTAGGGTTAGCAGTAATCATTTTGATTAATATTAGAGGTAATTGTTACAATTGTAATTAAGTGTTCTTGCATGGCAAGACCACTTACTGTTATCTCTCACATATATATTCTCATTATTATAGCCAAATTTACCACCCTAACTCCTCCCAGTTTACACTACATAGACAGTAATTTACCGAAACGTGCGGATTGTTCCCAATTGGTGTGCTATTACTTTGTGGAACATTTCGCCGAATGGTTCACGAAATATCTGCGTTTTTGTGGTGAAATTGGTCCCATAGGAATGAATGGCGGAATGTTCAAAACTAGAGTGGGAGCTGACAAAAGCTAGAGTGTGAGCTGAAAAATCAGGATATGATTTCTAAACTGCCATCACTCCCTCATTTTCAAGCCCACCTACACAAATCTTATATCAAAACGTTCAGCTATCCCTGCTGCCACTAAAAATGTCCACGGCTAAGCCATAGTCCTGATAGTTTTCACAATATGACCATTTGTTTGCAAGTCATGCCTCCCATTGACATTCATTGAAACTGCACTCTAGCCACCTCAAATTTGAAGGGCAATTTCTAAACTGCGACCACTCCAGTTGTAGACTACTGGTGGAGGCAAGAACACTTCACACAATTTCCCCAGA